TTTTAACATTTTGCTGGGGGTTGGGTCAGTACCTGTTGATGTACTGGAGAGAAAATTGCTTTTGGGATTGAAATCAGATGGAGTTTGCAACCGTCCTTCCCCTCATCCCCACCAGGATCTAGGCTCTTCCAGGTAACTCCTGGCTCCTCTTTCTTGGTCTAGCTTCTTAAATTTCCCATTCTTTCCTCTTTCCTTTCCCTTCTCCCTTTCGTCCTGTTCTCCTTCTGTTCCTTTTCTTTTAAGTAACTTTTTAAATGAGATGTAGGAAATTAATTGGCCAGGCTGATGAGAAGGGATCTGGCAAATGGAAGATGCAATCAGGACACTTTCAGACAAACGTCTTCTAGCCTCCCCAAGAATCAGCTTAATTTAATTTTAAAATTCCCCTTCTCAAAAAACAAACGAAACAACTTTCTTCCTTTAAACACGCAAGTAAAGGAGATAGTCTTAGGACGTGTTGCTGGCGCCCAGATGTCGTTCCGCTTGTGCACACGGAGACCCGCGTCTCCTGGGACCCTCGTCCAGGTGAGGGAGCAACAGTGAAGACGAGCCGAGGGAGGGAGCGGCGAGCCCGACACCGGAGGAAGGTGGTCTCCGCCCTCTCGCACCCAACCCGACTGCCTGCGCTCGGGCAGCCGCTGGTCGCGTGCGGGGGTTGCTGGGGACCAAGGTGCTCCTGAGCACCGGCTCCGCCTCCCCAGAGGAAGGCTTTTGCCCCCCTGGATCCCAGGGCTGTACCGGTCCTCGGGGCGCCTCCCCTGGACTGGGTGTGCCGGCCCGGCCTGCTGGGCGCGCTGGGAGAGGATGCGCAGCGCGGGTCTCCGCGTGGAGACGCCTGCCTGGGCCGCCGTCTCTGCTTTGGACAAAGGCAATCGCGATTTGTTTTTGTCAGGGATTGGGGAAAAGGATGTTGAAATTGTGAAAGACTGTCTCCCCCTTCCTTCCTCCCTCCTTCCCCTTCCTGCCCTCTCTTTTCTCTTTTTTCTTTCCTTCTCTCTCCCTTTCTCCCTCCTTCTCCTCCTTCCTTTCTTTCTTTCCTTTTTTCTTCGTAAAGGATGTCAGAATTTTCACAGGGGAACGCACTACCTACTGGCAGGCAGCAGCCCCGAGTATGAATGAAACCTTTGCCCCGTGACTTCAAACAGATCTCTGAATTTTTATTTTTCATTTCGTTTGTAAAGTTGGTAAAACGGGGATAATATACCACCACAGGGAGGCTGTAAGGACTGTATAAGAATACATGTGAACATACAATGTGAACACACTATGTGAACACATATCCTGTATGAACACATAGCAGGTGCATGTCAAGCATTATCCATTAAAATAATTTGCCTTTCTGCAAAAGATGATGTCTATGACTGATACTAAGCTAGCAGTTTCCACTACTTGTGACGGATATCAAAGAATCATTTGTGTTGGCCGACACGTTCATAATGAAATGGTCACTAACTCCGGTAACTTTCCAGATTTACATACATGTGATTTTGGCACTGCCAAATTTTACCGTTTAATTTCTTTAACTCCCAAGTCTATTGGGGGGAAAAAAAACAACCCAAGAGTCTTCTCTTTTAAAAACTTTTATTAGGCATTGCTAGATGATGCAGCACATGTCTTGCACACATCATGCAAGTAAACAGCACTCCACAGGAATCCATACAACAGTTCATACAGTGACAACCAAAGTAGTTGATTCTCATCATAGTTTTCATCCAAGCAGAAAGAATGTCGTTATACCCCACCATGAGATCTAATCTCAGGAGTAAGATTACTCTTCCATTCTAAAACAATCAACCAGAAACAATTAAACAAAGCCCAACCACAACAAAAAGCCACAGAGACCTTACCGGAAGTTCAAAATCGAACTCGAAAACATCACAAGGTATCCATCTTTTGAAAGATTTGTCCTTAAAATTTGTGTGATCTGACACTTGGGTTGCTTTTACCGCCAGCAGCAGGTGAGATTGTATTTATGAAGAAGGAGCAGTACATGGATACATATCCACTGAAAATTCTTGAGGTAATAGATTTTTTAATTTCACTGCTTAAAAAAAAAAAGATCTGTTAATTTCCACGTCCTGTCCAGCAGGACTTATCTGTTGGCAGGAAGATTTGTTTCCTCTTTTTTCTTTGTCAAATATTTACACATATTTGCATATACAACCTGTGTCTTTGTCTTTTCTAAGCACATGATTTATTTTAATTATTCATTATACATTCATCAGGAAAAGTTGAGTTATATTCTATGCTACATAAAGAATACAACAAAACCAGCTTTTTGTATAAAACTAACACAAAAGACAAAGACAAAGACCAAGAAGAGCAAGGTAATATATTGTACAAAATGTCTCAATGTCAATAAAGCCCACTGCGAATGAATAACTTTGTGTAAATAGCAAACACCATCATTCTTCAGCATCCGTGTGAAGTAGATTACAGATAAAATATTGCCACAGACAAAGGCAGGAAATGGGTCAAACTCTTTAAGTACCATATAATTACTTTTATTTCTAATACTTTTTGTAAAGTAATTTTGTCCTAATTGGAGCTATAAAGATTGATAGCCATTCTAACTCCCATTTTAAACTTTAATAATCAGTATTCTTTTTGGTGGTTTAAAAACACAATTCAATTATAATGGCTTCAATATTCTTTTAAAAAATACTTAGCTTAAAAATGAGCAATGAATTTAAGAAAAATATATCGGCTAACCTGCTGTTCTAGAGATAATACAGTGAATGAAAGTAGCGAATGCAGTCTCTCTATGTATATTCCTAAAGATACACTGTCTCATCAGCACTTTAAACAGAGGGATCAAGGAACACTCACAAAAAAAAATTATGGCTCTTTAGATAAGAAATAAAGTCAAGTGAAAAAAATAAGGCACTAATAATGTATATAAATGTTTTATACTCTCATCACACAAAGCACCATATGGAAGGTTAAAGGGACTATGCATTAGTGCTATTGGAAAATGGAAATAAACCTAGTTTCCCCTGACTTCTATTCACTAATTTCTTCTTTCCTTTTCAGTAATTAATGTAAAAACACTAAAATATCGGGGGAAATTACATATTATGCTAAAAGCATAATTCATGGAACTGGCAGCATTAAATAATCATTTGGAAATAAAATGTTGATTACTCTAAAAATGTAAGAAATTAAAGTCTTAAATACTCCTGATTTTTTAACATTTTCATCGCCACAGACTTTGTTTTTTCCTTTCCAATTTTCTTCTATGGATTTCTACATAAGGTATTAGTAATATTTTCTATTTTTAAAATTTTATTTCTACATGCTTCTTTCTTAAAATATATTCAAAATGGTTTCCTCCACATAGTTTTATGAATACCAAAGTTAATAGTATGACTAATGAAATGTAGAAAAAGTTAAAAAATAAAATTACATAAATATTTTCCAATATCATTGAAAAAGTAAAGAAAATCTCTTTTCAACCTGGCTTGTATATAAATATGGAAAATATTATGACATATTATTTAGAAAGTGGCTACATATTTTACAGAAAATGAAAAACATGTAATATAATGAAACTATGGACAAGATCTCATACAAAGTACTAGTTAAAGTCATTCATCTTAAAATTAAGAAATTCTTATTTGCAATTATTTGTCAGAATGTAATTAAAATGGGATATATTCTTGTAATTCAATCAGGAGATGACAATACTCTTTAGAACTGCAGTTTCTAAACATACAGTAATGAGATTAAACACCCAAACATTTTTCTTTTTAGCATTTTAAATTCTTTGTGGAAAAAGAGAATGTGAATAATAGCCCCACAGTTTTGCAATATATATATACATATAAATATATTTGTTTCACGAATATATCTGATAATCAATTTGTTTAAAATAGAAACAAGACAACCAACTGTTGTGGCTTTTTAATAAATAATGTGTTAACATTTTTATGCTACTGTGTTTGTGTTCCTTCTACACAGTTATTCTGTGACCTCTCAGAATTTACTATTTATTAAGTTAAAAATCTCTTTCATAAGCAACAAGACTGTCAATTAATTTTCATATTAAAAATCTGTAAAAGATTGTCCTTGTCAAGGTAAATAGTTATATATATATGTATCAGTTAGTGTTCTAGGTTTCATATGAAATGTTTGGTTTACTTTTTTCACCATCATCTATAGAATTTTAATTATGATGAAAATGATCAAATAACAAAATTAATCTGTTGCTGTACAGAACTTAAAAACATGGCCTTAGAAAAAGGGTTTGGAATCAGCTGATAAAAATTTATAATTTATCTAGAATTTTATTTATAAAGGAACATAAAGCATGCTAATTTTGTATAAACTGAAAAAAATCAGATATTTCTATCAAATATTTAGAAACAATAAAAATGTAATATGTGGACACAGAGGAAGTAATACGTTAATGAAAAATATTATTTTTAGGAACTTGGCTGTATTATTGAGACTACTTCTCCACCTGGGGCATGAGGTGACCGCCTAACTTTACATGGAATCAATGACCTCCAGCAGTCAATGACCTGCCAGATACAAGGAAGAAACTGAAGTGACATTATCTGAGCAATTTTTGAGGCTTTTTAACACCCAAGTTTGATTCTCCCTTGAACTTTTCCATATCATATAATAAACCTATACTAACTATATCTTGAGTGTGGCTTATATCTAAGTCATATGAAAAAGTAGAACATTTGCAAATGGCACATGGTTTCTCTAGAATAGGGCTGATTATCAGTTATAGTCAATGCCATCTACTTTAGATAATCAAAAAGTCTAATAATGTTTATGGAGTAAGAATCCATGGTCAAGTCTTACATACAAATGCTACACTATTATTAACCAGCCCTAAGCTAAGCTGTAGGACTTTCTGTTAAAACAAAGACCCCAAACCATACATCTGGCCATCCTGGATGCATCAAGAATGACTTGTGGTCAGACTGGATGATTGACCACAAATGCTTTCTGTCCAACCAATATGAAAACACAATATGGACCTTACAATATTCATGAAGCTTGGTTGTAGAGTATTTCTAGGCTCTCTGATCCAACTGACATCTTTTCATTCATTTTACTTCTTGTCAGAGGGCTGGGCAGGGTTCTCCAACCCCTATGAAGAAGAGGGACAGTGTTCCAGGTATCCTGAGATGCTTCAACTTACAGATGAAAGAAACCAAGATAAATTATGTTTACTATGCAGGCCAAATTATAGAGTCCTTTCAGTTTGAATGTTATTTCATTAGAGTCAAGAGTTAATGGTGAGACAGAATTCATCCCACACTTGGTCAAGATGGGATAGGGGACTGCAGATGAAAAAAGCAAGATAAATAGGAAATCTAAAAAGAAAACAGAAACTTGATGTTGAATTATGTGTCATTTAACAAGCCGGGAAGAAAGTCATTTAATATGATGGAATAGAGTGACAAAAATGTGAGATACATCTGAAAAACAAACAAAAAAATTTCTATGCTATTAAGACTGTGCAATCTAAGTGATTCAGAGTTAAATACATCTACTAGAATTTCTTTTATAAGCTAAAAGGAAGTGGCAAAAAAAAAAAAGGCAGTAGCAATCTTCCATGGGTTTTTTTTTTGATTTATTGCCTTTAAATCTATATTGTTTTTCTCAAAATAGTCACTTCTTAGCCAAAAAAAGAATATAGTTCAGAATATGCATAATTACATGCTGCTAAAATTAGCACTACGTATAGGGATATGTAAAGTATGTGATATACGGAGGCTTCAGCTAATGCTCCAGACAGTTACAAGTCTCACACTATTGTGACTCTCTTGCTTCTTGGGTTTTGATAAAGGTGACTACAGTTCTAGCCCCAGAACAGTGATGTACAATAAAAGCCCCACATAACAGCTGGCTATGAACTGAGTATTAGTTCTACCCTCTAAACCAGCGCTACAAAGGAGTGCCTTTCTGTTTTAAAGGTTTATATCCTTGGTTTGCATTGAAAAGGTACCATTTCACAATCTTGAATACTCCCCAAATTTGGAACTGTGATTTTGTTCAGACTATTTTTTTAATGAGTCTATAACATTATTTCAGTTTTATTAAAGTAATAATTATAGATATTCATACTAAAATGGGATTTGCAACTTATTTTCCAAAGGAGGAGGAAAATGTCAATTAAAATACAATGATCTGAAAAATAAAATATGTTCAAACTGGCTGTTAATGGTAGTGTTGATTACTAGTCAGTAGAATTTAGAGATTTCATTTTTTATTTTTATAGATTTTAATGTTATAGATTTCATGAAAAATGAAAATGCCATTAAAACTTGCAGTAAAAGTTAACGTTTTAAACAAACATTCCAACTAGGTTATTAGGTAACATTTATTAATTACTTGCTATGTTTCAGATCCTAATACCAATTTCTAGGCTTACTATAATTTTAGAAACTTGGCCACATCTTTTTCAGGTATGTTTTACTGTTTAAAATTTTTAGCTTCTGATTCTACCCCTCCCCAACAAATTTAAAGAGGTGACATAAATTGGCTAACAGTTATTCTACTGTCTCCTCAAAATATCATGATTAGTATCTTCAACTCTGTCAAATTACTCAAATGGCACAAATATTTTAAAGTGCATTATTGGATCTTAAGGCTGTATTTATAATAGACATTAGCACAAAACAATAAAGCTGACTATGAGTAAGCTTACTTTCAATAGCTGGGCTAGATTTCAGCCACAAGATTTGAGGACAAGCATACAGTCCAATGGGAAGATTGACATTAAGGCATATGTGCAGCTTGCTTATAAGATTCAAATATAAAATGGCATTTGGCATGAATTTTTTTATTTTGGTACTTAATGAAATATACCAATTAATGTTATTTAGGCTACTAACTTTTGTATAATTATGAATTGAGCAGATAGCATGGAACAACTGCATTGTTGAACATGGGAGAAACTGGATCGATGTGTTGGGGGATGGGGGTATGTCCTCAAGTTTGAAAATGGTTGAGAAGGAATGCTAATGCTTTGCCTGTGCTGGAGTGAGTGTTTCATCCCCCCTCCTCTGCCCCGTCTCTTCTCATCTTTCCTAGTGCAGGAGCTGTTGGAGTCTCAGAGGAGTGTAGAAAAAAGAGGTCGGGGATGAATCACCAGGAACCGGAAGTGTAGTTTGAAGGTCTTTCAGGGGAGCGATGGGCCATACATTTGGGGGGTAGGATTGAAAAGTAAAGACTCATCTGGGGACTTAGGATTTAAGAGATCGGGGGTGGTGCAGGACAGGGAATTTCCTGACAGGCACCACTGAATCCTGGTATCATGGCAGAGAATAGTACAATTAACGATATCAGGTTGTAGCCTGATATCAGGTTGTAGCCTGTTTAATGATCTCTGATTGTTTTCCTGTCTGTTCTACCTTAAGGGTACAATAGCACCTATCAGAAAATCAAGGTGATGGCAACAGAATGCTGTTTGTGCCAAAAGATTTGACCCCTTTTCTTCTTCCTAACTCCACATACAGAAGTTCTTAGGGAACTGATGAGATTTATTATAAAATAAATGTTTCATATTATTTCAAATTTATTAGTATCCCAACAAATCACCAAGCCTTACATATAGTCAAATTTATTTTTCTATGGATAACTGTGGTCATTCCTAATTGCCAACGTATTGCTTCCTACTTTTCACAACGGCATAATTAAGTTCCTTTGGGGAGCAACATGCATGAACATGGATAGTGTTTTAAAAAAATGTGACAAACATGATCACTTTGGCTATTTCATTTAAATCCCTCAAGTTTTAAAACTAGGCAATCCAAATATCAATGCATCTTTCTCACATTATCTTACAGACATCTCACTGCATTTTATTTTTATTAGAATAAGATGAATTTTCTTTTATGTGTTGGCAAGATATTTATTTGGCTAATCAAGCACGGGAAGAAATTATCCTGCACAAGATGCTTTTCTTTAAAAATTATGCCATTTTACACATTCTTTCTCCAAGAAAATTGTCTAAAGTATATTATCTCTATGATCTCGTTCACTGAAAATGCATTAAAATTTTATTACAAATATAAAAACCAAATTAAAAAACTTACGGAAATGTTCACACAGTGACAAATACATATATAAAGGATCTTCACTAATGCTTTGTAACAGAGAAGGGAAAACGATACGGATGTCCATTCAAAGGGGGACTAATTAAATAAATTAAAGTATAGCCCCACAACAGAATATGTAGTAATTTATAAAAGAATGAGGTAAATCTATTTAAGATTTTATGGAAGGATGTCCACCAATACATAGTAAAATGAACAATAGTCACAGGGCAGTAAGAATATTATTATTCTCTTCATACAAAACCAACACACACAGATACACAACACACACACTTGTTTACTTACTTGTATATTTGTAAAAAGTATCTGGAAGGACACTTAGACCAAATCATTAACAGTGGTCACCCCTAGAAAATAAGGGGTGAGGAAAAGCAGAGGAATTTGTGTTTTATAATTCTCTACAGTTTGACTTTTTTAAAAGGAGCATATATTAAATTTACAGTGAAAACATATAAAAAAAATGACAAGCCTTGTATAAAAAAGGTCTTCATTGTAAGTGCATGCTTCTTTTTTTCTAAAGTCGTTTTTAGAATTTATCCCAAAAGGTATGATTGTTTTACCTTCAATGTTGGCACTAACATATAAATAATCTCTTTTATTTTTCTTCTCCCTTTTTAAGATCTTGATGATACTTAGTAAAAAAAAAAATTCACAAATAACTGCTTTAAGTCACTAGCAGGGAAAGGCCCAATATATACCAACTTTGAAAGCAAAAATGGCTATGTTAATTTTATGCAATAGAAAAATGAAAATCCTGTGCAACACTGTGCACACTATTGCAAGCGTTGATGAAAGAGCATTGGCTGATAACAGATGCCACTCTGTAACTGGAAAATTGGAACGTTTCCAAATAATATAAAAATACCTCCAAAAGATAAGTTATTCAAAGAAAGGAATAAAAATCCCTGAGTAGGCAAAAGACAACAGATACAATAACCTAAGAAAATAGATTACCCAGGACAGAGAGTATATTATTTAGCCAGTTGGTATATATGTATTCATATGCAGCTATGTACATATATCTAAATATAGACACATACATATACCATACATAAACACACCCACTAGGTTTAGAATTCATCATATGCACACATCATCAACCTACACCTAAGTCCAGGAAAAGAGAGACTGATTTACAAAAATTAAGCACTCTTACAACAGAATTACATAGATTTAGGGCTAGAAATTCTATTCTCTCAGCTTTAATACTAGAGCACATAAAATAGGCACTCAATAAATATTTGTTGGATGGATAGAAGGTTGGATGAATGGAAAGATGAAATGGGAAGCCAAGGCATTGCTCCTTCTTGTTATCATACTATGCTTTAGAAATTGCTATTCCGGGACCATCAGTGGTACACCCTCCTCTAACTGGAAATAGACCCATTGAGCAGTCTAGCTTTTCTGAGTGTCATTCAGAAAGAATGGAAGTGCTGGCTTGTTTATCCAAGCAAGTAATCTTCACAATCATGGACTTTTTAGATCAAATAAAAAAGATACATGTTCTTATATTCTGGAGCCCAACAAGAGAAACCATCCATGTTAATGCATGTTTTATCACATAATCTATTTCAATTCAGAAGAGGTTGCTGACAGATAAATGCTACATCTATGCCAATAGCTAATGCTAAGGATTTGGAGACAAGTGGGACAGGCTTCTTAGGGTCTTTACTTCCCTTCTGCTGATGAACATTCGTGACGAAAACAAACAAACAAACCCCATAGTTTTGTTACTTGTCCTTTTCTTATTTTTAAAGACTTCTCAGCTTGGTAAAATGTCCTGAAAATATTTCCTTCATTTTTTATTTTTGTTTTCTTCTCCAAAAGCAATTTATATTTTAGATAAACCCACAAACACAAAGTTTTGTTTCAAATCATCCCTCTGTAAGAAGATACCAACACATTTATTATGTGTTTAAGCAGTAAACATAAAAATCCTTCAAAAATAGTATTTGTTTTTATGAAAAACTTGGGGACAAATGAGAGAGACAGATTGAGCAGAGGTAGAGGGTGGGGTTTTAAATAATATATGTTTAACTTAAAGCTTAATTATTGTAATTCTAAGTTGGTTAAAAAATTAGCAGAATAGGGATTTGTTTAAAGGCTGCTTTCAGCAGTTCTCTCTACAGCAAACTTGTTATTTAAATTAAATATAGAGTAAAGCAAGTATGCCAACAAATAAGAAATCTGAAAAGACTGGTGGTCAGGTCCTGAGCATTTCCTAAAAGCAGTCTATCAGTTTTGTCAGTTTATAAAGTTTGATAATCCTTGAGGAGACATTGTACAAGTGTCTGTGTGTGTGTGAGACAGAGAGAGAGAAGGAACAGAAAGGCTCAACATTGAAGTAACCTGTTGTCTATGTTGGCTTTAATTCAGTATGAGAGCAGATTATGCCCACAAAAGAACGATCATCTTTAAATATTTCCATGAAAATGTGGAAAAATAGTGTAGAGGCATGGAACTTGACAAGTACAAGTTATTGGACCTAGTTTTAATGTAGATATGTATATACACACATTCACACCCCTGCACATATACACCTCAGTAACTCACGATTCTTCTCATTAATTTAGTTTCATTAGTTCCCTTTTGGGCATTGAGATTTTTTTTTAACAGAGATAGCATTTGAAGGATGAAGGAATTATACTGCTTGGGCCACAGATGGAAACAAGGGCATATGATGAGCCTTCATCTTCTGAAAAATGGCCTTGCTTGCTCGTACAGGTGGGACTTCAGTTATTCACACCATGTCTCAGAAGAGGGCCTGGAGGGAAGTTCAGGTACAAAGACAGTCCAAGCAATGCTCAGGAGAGGCATGCTCAGACAGTGCTGAGGATAACTGGTTCTTAATGAAAATATTTTCTTCCAAGAACCATTAAGAAGATCAGAGTTATGATATAGATGTTTCTAGTCTATGAAAGTGACCATTTTGTAAAAGCAGCAATCTGTATAAGGAAAGGACAGGATACCATGGTGGGAATGCACCGGAGCTAGAGGCATTGTGGAGAAGAGATGGTGGAAGGTTCCTCTTGGCGGTTTTCAGGACGAGTGTACAATTCTGTGCAGCTCCTACCCGGCCCTGCTGACTTAGGTGAGGTTGTCTGCATTCACCAGTGCATTCCTGTCCGTGATCGTTTTCTCTGTTTTTTACAAAGGCAATAGATAGGAAACACAAATAAACCTGGGGATTAAAAAAAAACAAAACAAGATTAAAGCTAATTCAGAGGACAGGCATTTAGTTTTATACATTTGAAAATTTTCTAGTTTCAAATTTTCACTTTGCAAAACTGTTTATAAATCATCATTATTTAGTAAGACAGGAAGACGAAAAGAGGGAAGATACATTTGCTATGAAATGTACTTAATTCCTCAAGATTTCATTCTTTATTATTTTGTGTTAGGTCTCTCTCTCCCTTTTAACAACCTCTGTAACACCAGTATGAATATGAAATAGTTTTTTTTTAAATCAAAATATCCAAAATCAGGTTTAAGTCTTCTTTATCAGCCTTTGTCATGTCACTTGCACACTGGTATTCACACCTCAGTTTCAGGCAGTGTAGCACATTACTTAGAAATGTGCTGGGGAGCAAATGTCATGTTTGATCCCCAGTTCTACCTCTTCTGAGGTCCTAGTCAGCCTTCATTTCCTTGACTGTAAAATGCAGATAGTAACAGTAACTACTTCAGAAAGTCCCATTTATTGTAAGAACTAAAATATCAGTTACTTTATAATTCTAGCTGTTCTGCACATACAAATTACTTGCTAAATAGAACTTTATCTATAAAAATCACTGTATTTAGGACAAAAAAGAAATCCCATCAACCA